CCACCAACCCCACACGTGGTTTTAACTAAAAATCGATGAATTCTACCCAAAAAAAAGGGGGGTGGGGGGGCAGTGGAAACCCCAAAACTGTTCCTTTTGTCCCCGAAATGATGTTTTATCCTGTATTCAGTGCATAAGACCCTATGAGACCCTATAAGGCTCCACAGAACCCTATAATGTCTCATAGGACCCTATAAGGCCCTATAAGGCCCCACAGAACCCTATAAGGCCTCACAGAACCCTATAAGGTCCCATAGGATTCCATAAGACCCCATAGGACCCTATAAGACCCCACTGGACCCCAAAGGACCCCATAAGGCCCCATAGAACCCTATAAGGCCTCACAGGATGCCAGAGGTCCTCACAGAACCCCATAAGACTCCACTGGACCCCATAGGGCTCCATAGGACCCCATGGGATGCACTGGACTCCATAGGACCCTATAAGGCCCCACAGAACCCCTTGGTCCCCACAGGACCCTATAAGATCCCGTAAGACCCCATAAGGTCCCATAGAACCCTATAAAGCCTCACAGGTCCCTATAGGACCCCATAAGACCCCCCTGGACCCCATAAGACCCTATAAAAGACCCCATAAACCCCATTGGACCTCATAAGACTGCACTGGACCTTATAAGACCCCATAAGACCCCACAAAAGACCCCATTGGATCCAATAAAAGCCCCCATAGGACCCCATAAAAGACCCCATTGGACACACTGGACCCCGTAAGACCCCATAAAAGCTAAAAGCCCCATAGGATCCCATAGGACCCCATAAAAAACACTGGACCCCATAAGACCCCACTGAATACACTGGACCCAATAGGACCCCATAGGGCCCCATAAAAGACCCCATTGAACACACTGGACCCCATAAAACCCTACAAGTACCTCAGACGACCCCATAAAACCGCACTGAACACACTGAACCCCATAAGGTGCCATAAGACCCCATAAAAGATCATATCACCCTAATAGGACTCACTGAACACACTGGACCCCATAAGACCCCACAAAAGACCCCATAAGGCCCCATTGAACACACTGGATCAATAGGACCCCGTAGGACCCCATAAAAGACCCCATAGGACCCCATATGACACAATGTACTACATGAGACCCCATAAGACCCCACAAAAGACCACATTTGACCCCATAAGACCCCACTGAATGCACTGGACCCCATAAACCCCCATAGGACCCCATAAAAGACCCCATAGGACCCCATAAGATCCCATTGAACGCACTAGACCCCATAAAACCCCACTGAACACATTGAACCCCATAAGACCCCACAAAAGACCCCATAGGACCCCATAAGACCCCACTGAACACACTGGACCCAATAAGACCCCATATGACCCCATAAGACCCCACTGAACACACTGAACCCCATAAGACCCCACAAAAGACCCCATAGGGCCCCATAAAACCCCACAAGACCCCACTGTACACACTGGACCCCATAAAATACCCCATAAAATACCCCATAAGACCCCTCCCCACCACCCTCCCCCATCCATCCATCCATCCATCACTCCTCCTCCGGCGCTTCCGCCATCACCGCCGCCCGCCGTCGCGGCTTCGCCGTGTTTTGCCGGTGCCCCTTTTGGTGCCGTAGGAAATGAAGGGTGCTGTTAAAGCTCCTCCCGCAAACCCCACAAATATGGGGTCGACCCCCTTGGTGGCTCCTTTGGTGCCTGTAGAGGTGTGAGGTACGACCAAAACTTTTGCCGCAATCGCCGCATCGGTACGGCCTCTCGCCGGTGTGGATGCGTTGGTGCCGTTCCCAATGGGAGCTCCAAGAAAAGGATTTGCCACAGTCGGCACAACGGTAGGGTTTGGTGGAGTTGGTGACGCCAATGGGGTCGTTGGTGACACCAATGAGGTCGCTGGTGATGCCATTGGGGTCATCGGTGATGCCAACAGGGTCATCGGCGATGGAGGTTCCACCATTGGTGATGGCGGCAGTGTTGGTGCACCGGTGCCGTTCCCAATGGGAGCTCCAAGAGAAGGATTTGCCACAGTCGGCGCAACGGTAGGGTTTGGTGGAGTTGGTGACGCCATTGGGGTCGTTGGTGATGCCATTGGGGTCGTCGGTGCTGCCAACGGGGTCAACGGTGATGGAGGTCCCATCGTTGGCGATGGCGGCGACGTCGGTGCACCGGCAATGGGAGCTCCATGAGAACATCACCCCACAATCGCCACAACGCCGGGGTTTGGTGGCACTGGGGGCGTCGTTGGTGATGCCATTGGGGTCGTTGGTGACGCCAACGGGGTCATCGGCGACGGAGGTCCCACCATTGGTGACGGAGATCCCATCATCGGCCATGGAGGTCCCATCTTTGGTGATGGAGGTCCCATCTTTGGTGATGGAGGTCCCACCATCTTTGGTGACGGAGGTCCCACCATCTTTGGTGACGGAGGTCCCACCATCTTTGGTGATGGAACTTCCACCATTGGTGATGGAGGTCCCGCCATTGGAGATCCCACCGTTGGTGATGGAGGTTCTACCATCGGTGATGGAGGTTCTACCACTGGAGACAGAACTTCCACCACTGGTGATGGAGATGCCACCACTGGAGATCCCACCGTTGGTGATGGAGGTTCTACCATTGGCCGTGGAGGTTCCACCATTGGAGATGGAGGTCCAATCGTTGGAGATCCCACCATTGGCCGTGGAGATCTCACCATTGGCCATGGAGGTTCTACCATTGGAGATCCCACCACTGGAGATCCCACCATTGGAGATGGAAGTCCTACCATTGGCCATGGAGGTTCCACCGTTGGCTGTGGAGGTTCTACCACTGGAGATGGAGCATCCACCATTGGAGATCCCACGATTGGAGATCCCACCATTGGAGATCCCACCATTGGAGATCCCACCATTGGCCATGGAGCTTCCACCGTTTGCCATGGAGATCCCACCAGTGGAGATGGAGGTTCTACCATCGGTGATGGAGGTTCCACCACTGGAGATCCCACCATTGGTCATGGAGATCCCAATATTGGCCGTGGAGGTTCCACCATTGGTCGTGGAGGTTCTATCGTTGGAGATCCCACCATTGGAGATCCCACCACTGGAGATGGAGGTTCTACCACTGGAGATCCCACCATTGGTGATGGAGATCCCACCATTGGTCATCCCACCATTGGAGATGGAGGTTCCACCATTGGAGATCCCACCATTGGAGATGGAGATCCCACCATTGGAGACCCCACCGTTGGAGATGGAGGTTCTACCATTGGAGATGGAGGTTCCACCATTGGACATCCCACCATTGGAGATGGAGGTTCTACCATCGATCTTGGAGGTTCCACCATTGGACATCCCACCATTGGAGACCCCACCATGGGAGATGGAGGTTCTACCATCAGCCATGGAGCTTCCACCGTTGCTCCCACCCCCACCATCACCCCCATCCCCGCACCAATGCCATTCCCAGTGGGAGCTCCACGAGAACACCGTCCCACAATCCCCACACCTCCTCCCTTTTCCCCCCACCCCACGGCCACACCACGACGACCCTTCCACCAAATGTCCCCTTTGATGCCGAACCAACGCCGGCGCGTCGCCGAAACTCTTCCGGCACCTCGTACATTTATAAGGCCTCCTCCCGACGTGGGTTTTTTGATGCCTTTCGAAATGAGTGGTGCTACCAAAACTTCTCCCACAATAGGTACAGATGTAGGAACGACCACCGGCGTGGCCTCGTTGATGCCGGTAAAGGTGTGAGCTTCTACCAAAGCTTTTACCGCATTCGGCGCATCGGTAAGGTCGCTCGCCGGTGTGGGTCCGTCGGTGTCGTTCCCAATGGGAGCTCCAGGTGAAGGTTTTGCCACAGTGGGAACATTGGAATGGGGAAAGGCCGGTGTGAGCCCGGCGGTGAGTGGCCAATTCTTTGGCACGGCGAAAGGTTCGCTGGCAATCGGCGCATTGGTAAGGAGAGGTGGGGTTGGGGTTTGGCGACGTGGTGGGGGGTTTTGGTGACGGGGTGGTGGGTTTTGGTGATGTGGTGGTGGTGGTGGGTTTTGGTGACGGGGTGGTGGGTTTTGGTGATGCTGTGGATCTGGTTGGTTTTGGTGATGGCGCGGATCCATTGGTGGTGCTGGTGGTGGTGGGTTTTGGTGATGCTGACGTGGCGGTGGTGGGTTTTGGTGATGGGGTGGAGGGTTTTGGTGATGCCATGGATCTGGTGGTGGTGGATGGTTTCGGTGACGTGGTGTTGGGTTTCGGTGATGCTGATGTGGTGGTGTTGGGTTTTGGTGATGGGGTGGTGGTTTTTGGTGACGTGGTAGATCCATTGGTGGTGGTGGTTGGTTTTGGTGATGGGGTGGTGGCTTTTAGTGATGCGTTGCTGGGGTTTGGTGATGCGGTGGTGGTGGTGGTGGGTTTTGGTGGTGCCATGGATCCATTGCTACTGATGGCGTTGGGTTTTGGTGAAGTGTTGGTGGGTTTCGGTGACGCTGTGGATCCAGCGTTGGCTTTTGGTGACACGGCGTCGGGTTTTGGTGACGTGGTGTTGGGTTTTGGTGACGCGCTGTTGGCGGTGTTGGGTTTTGGTGAAGAATTGTTGGGTTTCGGTGAAGAGTTGTTGAGTTTCGGTGAAGAATTGTTGGGTTTTGGTGAAGAGTTGTTGGGTTTTGGTGACGAGTTGTTGAGTTTCGGTGAAGAGTTGTTGGGTTTTGGTGACGTGTTGTTGGGTTTCAGTGAAGAGCTTTTGCTGCTGTTGGGTTTTGGTGGCACGGCGGTGGGTTTTGGTGAAACGGCGACCGGTTTTGGTGACGTCCTGGTGCGTTTTGGTGATCTGGTGGTGGGTTTTGGTGATGTGTCGGTGGGTTTCGGCCACGCCGTGGATCCAGCGTTGGGTTTTGGTGACGTGGCGGTGGCCGCGGTGGGTTTTGGCGAAGTCTTGGTGGTCGTGGTGGTCTCCAGGTGGGCTCGGTAGAGGTTGGAGGTGCCAGTGATGGTTCTGCCACGGTGCCAGCAGCCGTAAGGTCGTTGTTTGGTGCGGCCGCGCCGGTGTTTGCCGAAGTGGGAACGGCAACCAAAGGTTTTGCCACAGTCAGGGCAAGGGAAAAGGGGTTGGAGGACCAGGAGATTATGGGATGG